AAAACCACCTGTTTAGGCAGGCTGCATCCTCAAGTGGTGAAGGGTGGTTTTCATGGTCTTCGGACCTTTCACCAATTCAGGACCATTCAGGATTTTCGGGATGCCAAAAACTCTCACTTGACCACTTTAGTACGCCCTTCACCACTTCAGGATGCAGCCTGCCTAAACAGGTGGTTTTCAGGGTCTTCGGACCTTTCACTACTTCAGGGTTTTCAGGGTCTTCGGACCTTTCACCACTTCAGGTTTTTCAGGGTCTTCGGACCTTTCAAACTGCCAAAAACTCTCACTTCAGAATTTTCATTCCTGAATTTTCAGCTACCCGATAACCGCTTGTGCAAAGATGGCGGTGCCAAGGACGTGCTCGCCCACTCAATAATTTCGTTCTCGTTTTATTTTTTCTAATATTCATTATTATTATTTATTTTTATTATTTGATTTTTATTTCAAATTTGGTAACGAATTTGGATGTAAAGTTAAGGCAAATGCTGTTTAGTTTATTCTTCGGCTTAACATATAGTTTTTTATTTTATTATTTTATTTTTTTAATATTTTTTTATATTTTTTCACGTTCAGCCGAACGGCCGAACGCTTCGAGAGGGGGTGCCGAACGTTCGAGCGTTCGGGTTCAGGCGTTTGACTCGTTTCATATATATATGCAGGGTTACCGGCGTTCGGGAAGGGTCGAACAMAAAAAAAAAAAAAAAAAAAAAAAATATTTTCAAAAAATTACAAACAAACACTATGTTATGGAGACAAATAAACTAAACAACATTTGCCTGGGCACTACATCTAAATTCTTTACCAAATTTGAATTAAAAATCAAATACAAAAAATAAACACTATGAGAAAAATAATAAAAAATAAAAAGAGAATTAAAATGAGTGAGTGTGCCAGCATCTTTTCGACACCGCCATCCTTGTTGATTTTTAATTATTCTTTCGCATTGACAAACGCCCTGAAAATTTACAGATATGTAGTTTACATAATCAATAACTCATTAAAAAATGTTCCAAAAATAATAAAATTAGTTAGGCCCCGAAATAAAGTGAAAACAAAAAGTTAAAAGTGAAAAAAAACAAAATAGTGAGTGGGCGAGCATATTTGACACCCTCATCTTTGACGATTTTTAATGCTTTTTTGGCTTAGCAGAATAGCTTCAAAATATGTAGGCGTGTGATTTACATCGTAGAGAACTCACAAAAAAACATTCAGAAAAAAAAACTTATTTTTAGACCCCAAAATATTTTTTGGCGGGGGCCGAACCTGCAGGTGTTCAACCCCCGAACGGGACCCCGAACGCCCGAACGTTCGGGGGCCAGCCTGTACGTACGGAGGCCCCCGGGCGGACCCCCGAACGTTCGGTTAGGGTTACCATCCCGTACGTACAGAGGCCCCTGGGCAGACCCCCGAACGTTCGGTCAGGGTTTCCAGCCTGTACGTATGGAGACCCCCGAGCAGACCTCCGTACGTTCGGGCGTTTGGGGTCCCGTACGGGGTCCGAACCCGACGGCGTTCGGCCCCCGCCAAAACTTATTTCGGAACGTAAAAATATATTTTTTTTTCTGATTTGTTTTTTACGAGTTCTCTATGACGTGAGGTACATACCTATAAATTTTCAAGTTATTTGGCTTAGCCAAATAAGAATTAAAAATCGCCAAAGATGGCAGTATCAAAACGTGCTCGCCCACGTTTTGTTTCACTTTTTACTTTTTGTTTTCACTTTAGTTCGGGGTCTAAACAATTTTATTATTTTTTGAAACTTTTTTAGTGGGTGTTTTATTATGTGAAGTACACATCTGTAAATGTTCAGGGCATTTATCTATGCAAAAAAAAAAAAAAAAATCGCTAAAAATGGCGGTGTCGAAAACATGCTCGTGCACTCACTAAATTTAATTCTCTTTTTATTTTTAGTCATTTTTATTATTAGTATTTATTCTGTGTATTTTATTTTTATTTCAAATTTGGTAAGGAATTCGAACGTAATGCTCAAGCAAATCTTGTTAATTTTTTTTTTCTCCGCAACATATCTTTTTTTGAGATCTTTTTGATGATTGTTTTTTTTTTTTCTGGTCTGCGTTCGGCCCGAACGGCCAATTGCATCCCCAAGGGTCCCCATACGTTCGGGCGTTCGGGTTCGGTCGCTCGGCCCGTCCCGAACGCTGGTTACCCTGTATATATATATATATATATATATCGTCAAATAGACCTGCCCGGTAAACCGTAGGCAGAGAGGGAGAAGAGGACAACAAACGAGGGATTGTGACAAACTGTTTCGTCGGAGTTTCACCGACTCATATATATATATGGTTGCCGGCGTTCGGGACGGGCCAACCACCCGAACCCGAACGCCCGAATGTTTGGGACCCCCTCTCGACACGTTCGGGCGTTCGGCCGAACGCGACACCAAAAAAAATTAGTTTCCAAAAATTTTGAAAACAAAATATGTCATGCAGAAGAATAAACTAAACAACATTTGCCTCAACAGCACATCGAAATTCCTTACCAAATTTGAAATAAAAATCAAATACAAAAAATAAATAATATTAATGAAAATAAAATAAAATAAAACGAGAATGAAATTATTGCGTGGGCGAGCAAGTTTTTGACACCGCCATCTTTGGCAATTTTTTTTTTTTTTTTGGCTTTGTCAAATGCCATAAAATTTTATACATATGTATCTTACATAATAGAGAACCTTCAAATAAAGTTTGAAAAAATAATAATTTTGTTCAGGCCCATAAATAAAGGGAAAACAAAAAGTGAAAACAGAAAAAACACAAATTAGTAAGTGGGAAAGCAAGTTTTGACACCACCATCTTTGCTGATTTTTCATTATTGTTTGGTTCCACAGGGTTGCCAGGCCGAACGTACGGAGACCCTAAGCTGACCCCCGAACGTTCGGGCGTGTGGTCCCCGTACGGGGCCCAAATTTGAAATGGTTTGAACCCCGCAAAAAACTTTTTTGACACCTAAATATTATTATTGTTTTCTATTTTTTTTGTGAGTTTTTTGTGATGTAAGGTATCGACCTTTTAATTTTGAAGCCATTCTGTTTACTCAAAAAAACATGAAATATCGGCAAAGATGGTGGTGCCAAAACTTGCTTGCCCACTCACTAATTTGTTTTTTTTCTCTTCTGACTTTTTGTTTTTCTTTTATTTTGGGGCATGAAAAAATTTATTATTTTTTCAAACTTTATTTGTAAGTTCTTTATTATGTAAGCTACAAATATCTAAATTTTCATGGTATTTGTCACATAAAAAAAAAAAAAAAAAGGCCAAAGATGGCGGTGTCAAAAACATTCTCGCTCACTCAATATTTTTGTTCTCGTTTTTTTTTTTCCCCCTAATTTTTGTCATTATTATTTATTTTTAATAGTTGATTGTTATTTCAAATTAGGTAAAGAATTTGGATGTAACATTGAGGCAAATGTTAAGTCGTATATTCTTATGCATAATATATATTTTTTTCAGAGTTTTTGGATTTCTCATTCTTTTTTTTTTTTTTTTTCCGGGGGGGGGGTTCGCGTTCGGCCGAACAACCGAACGTGTCGAGAGGGGGTCCCGAACGTTCGGGCGTTCGGGTTCGGGCGTTCGGCCTGTCCCAAACGCTGGCAACCCTATATATAGGGTAACTGGCGTTCGGGACGGGCTGAATGCCCGAACCCGAACGCCCGAACGTATGGGACCCCTTAGGGATGCCTTCGGCTGTTCGGACCGAACGCGGACCCAAAAAACAAAAAAAATTAAAAAAAAAAAAAAAAGTCAAAAAAATCCTAGGCTACAAGAGTAGCCCGGGGTCACTTGCCCGACCGAGCCAAAAATAATTCAAAAATAAAAATAAAAGAAAATAAATAAAATTTTATTTTTTATTCTAAATCTGGTGCAGAATTTCGATGTGACCCTGAGGGAAAACTTGTTCAGTTTATTTTTTTGCATAACCTAGTTTTTTTTCGGATTTTCTTGGAGTTTTTTTTTTTTCTTTTGGCTGGGACCTTCCCTTGTCCTTGCACGGGCTGGTCACCCGGGACCCGGGCGGCCCGGTTGGTAGCCTAGAAAAAATCTAAAAAAAAGATATGTTATTTAGAAAAATAAATTAAACAAGATTTGTCGGAGCATAACATCCAAATTCCTTACCAAATTTGAAATAAAAATCAAATACGAAAAACAAATAAAAATAAAAAACATTAGTGAGTGAACGAGCACGTTTTCGACACCGCCATCTTTGGCGAGTTTTCATTTTTTTTTTTGCATAGCTAAATGCCCTGAAAATTTACAAATGTGTAACTTACATAATGCGAAACCCACTAAACAAGTTAAAAAAAATAATCAAATTGTTTAGACCCCGAACTAAAGTGAAAATAATAAGTACAAAGTGAAAAACAACGTGAGTGAGCATGTTTTGACACTGCTGTCTTTGACGATTTTAAATTCTTATTTGGTTGAGCTAAATGACTTGAAAATTTATAGGCATGCACCTGACGTCATAGAGAACTCACAAAATATATATATATACGGGACAGGCCGAACGCCCGAACCCAAACGCCTGAACGTACGGGACCCCTTCGGAAGGCGTTCGGCCGTTCGGGCCGGACGCGGACCAGGAAAAAACAACAACAACAACAACAACGTTTTTTAAAAATTCCAAAAAAACATATGTTATGGAGAAAAATAAACTAAACAACTTTTGAGCGGACACTACATCAAAATTCTTTACCAAATCTGAATTAAAAATCAAATACAGAAAATAAACACTATGATAAAAATAAGAAAAAAAAAAAATTAAAATGAGTGAGTAGGCCAGCAACTTTTCGACACCGACATCTTTGCCGATTTTTAATTATTTTTTGGCATTGACAAATGCCCTGAAAATTTACAGATATGTAGCCTACATAATCAATAACTCATTAAAATGTTTCAAAAAATAATAAAATTGTTTAGGCCCCGAAATAAGGAGGAGATCACCGGGAGGAGTGAGCGTGCTTTACGAGCTTTGGAGGTGTAACCTTTCGAAGACAAAGAGTTGTGATTGGCGACATCAAAGGAGGAGATATTTGAGAGAGAAGGAGCGGACTAAGTACCAGCGTTCGAAGGATGGCGGGACACGAGCAGCAGGAGTTTCAGCGGAGGGAGGACAAAGACCGGAGGAATGAGAGAGGGCGTGAAGATAGAGGAATGAGAAGAGGGCCTACATGTTTCAATTCTCGGGAAGAGGGACATTATGCGAACCAGTGTCCGCATCCCAGGAGGGCACGATACTCGGAACGTCCGTCATCTTCGACAGATTCTAGGCGCGGCAGATCGGCATCACCAACAAGGTATGACCGGCCGTACCAGAGGAGATCGAACTCCCAGGATCCGGAGGTGACGTCGAAGATACAGGAGTTGGGGCGTAATCTGGAGGCAGTGACCGAGTTCGTGAAAAACCAGAGGGCTATAAAGGAGGAAAAGAAACGTCGTAAGAATGAGAGAGCTGAAGCAAAGATGAGGGCAGAGGAGGAGAAACGAGAGAAGGAAAGGAAGGCGGCGAAAAAAACGGAGAAGGCCAGATGTGAGGAGCTGAGACTGGCGAAGATTGATAAGAGCGTGGACCTTAAAGTGTCTATCAAAATAAGCGAGCTCTGCGAAAAATTGGAGGCGAAATTTATCTTGGCACCTCCAAGCGGCAGGAAGGATAAAGGCAAACAGAAGGCAACAAGCGAATCTTCCGGAGGATCCAGCTTCGAGATAGAGAGCAGTGGAAGCGGCACAGATGTTAAGCTGCGAAAGACAAGCAAGAAGACATAGACAGTGAAGCGGAAGCATGGACCAGAGCCAGTTCTTGAGAATAGCCTTCCAATGCTAACTCGCGCTAAGCGGTCGGCGAAATTAGAAAAGCAGAAGTCCGACTTTTTGACGCCACGGTTGACCAAGTCAAAAAGGAAGATTAAGACTAGGCTGTCGTTGATCGTGGAGAAGATGAAGACGCCAGTGGCTGGAGGTACGGTAGCCAAGCTGAGATACCGTAACCAGGTGATGGAGGAGATCAAGGGCCTCGATGCGACAAAATTGCAGACGATTTGTAAAGAGGAAGGAATTTGGTATGCGGGAAAGATTGATGCAATCTTTGATATTGCAAGCCATTGTACACGGCTAAATTTTGACGAGGTGACACATCGGAAGGAGGAGGTGATCAAGATCACAGAGGAAGTTGAGGACGACACAACTGTTGACGAACCCGAGGATGAGGGTGAAGCATAAGTGGGAGATTGAGTGCGGATACTTTGGCGCCTAGTACGAATTTTGACGAGCCTAAGATGTAAATTGCCAAGCGTAGATACAAATGTCGAAGAGCTGCTGAGACTGTGCATCTTCAATTTATCAATTAGAGGTGAGATCAGATGGAATCGTAAACTAATTTGCTCATGGAGAAGATTGTTTGAAGTATACGGGGTAGACTTTGTGAACGCTAAATGTTGTGTCTATATAGCGGTTTCCCCATTTTGCAAGTTGCAATATATTGGGAAGACTAATAGAGCACTGAACGTCAGATGGAGGGAGCACATTCGAGCTAGTAAATCTCGTATACATAGTCACTTCTACAGATGGTTGGGGTGCTTCGGAGCCGGTAATTACGTCTTACTGCCGGTAGATGTTGCCAGCGAAACCGACCTTGTCAATCTGGAGAATTTGTACATTACTCAATGGTCGCTGTTTCTGAATATAAGTGGGGTAAAGAAGTGGGGAAGTAAGAGACTAGGACGGGGTAAGAAGGGCCGAGCGGAGAGATGGAGAAAGAGGGAGAACAAGGGGGTGGGGAGTCAAAGGTTCGTTATACCCATCCGATTTAAGGACGACGGAGTTTGGTCCTCAAATTTGCCGAGCCTACTAACGAAGTATGATAAGAAGGGGTTAAGAACCTTCCCGATAGAAGTCAGTGGGGGAAATACGTGGTTTCCCAGATGGCAGAAGGTCAGGAAAGCCTTTGGGGAATCGACGGTGAAGATTGGCGGGCGGACGGGACCTCTGAAGGATTTGAAAGCGGAACTTGAGAAGGGTGGTCGTTTGGAAGTGGTGCATCTGCGAGCATGGAAGCCGCAAGGAAATAAGCTAAAACAGATATTGATAGGGATCCTGAAAAACCCTGGGAAGCTGACAAGTATCTACGAATGGAATCTGAAAGTTGTAATGAGATTGTACGACGTGGTTAGAGACCTCAGTAAAAAGTTTACTCGTAAGTATCTGAGGCGCCTGGTGTCAAGGGTGGTTCGGGAACGATTCGGACTGAGTATGACAGCGGATTTGGTGGTGAAGACCAAGTATGACGATAGAGTTAAGCTAGTCAAACTACGCAAGGTGGTTAACGACTGTATCACGACTTGTGAATTGCCGGAGTGTTTTAGGAATTGAGCATGGCGGAAGGTCCGAATAGTCCAGATGAAAAATCTGGCAGTGAAGGACCTGTTGCACAATCAACGAGCCTATGCGGCTCAGAGAGGGAGGGCACGTGCGATTCCGATTCAGCAAAGGCGAAGATAGGCACGTTCGCCTGGGGAATGCCAATGACATTCCACGGGCAACTGTAGCGGACCGGGCAAAGCTATTGAAGCAGGAGGTGGAGGATAATTTTGCCAATTGGTACAATTTTCGCGGTAATATCGCGAAATTTAGCATAGAACGGCTGGCCTCATGGATCTCAAGTGCGGAGGATAACGAGGATAGGATTAGTGTCATGGAGGTTGTAAGTGTTAAGAGTGAATTAACAGGGCTAGTTTTGACACCGTTGGACATAAATCCAGGAGAAACGGTAGCCAGCGGTCTACTATAAGGCAATGATGACTACTTTTGTGAACAATCCAGGGTATCGCGTGATGACAAGTACAGAAGTTGAGATTCTCATAGAAATCAGGGAAGATGTGGAGAAGGAAGGTCTGAAACAATTCGTGAAATAGGACAAGAAAGGGGAATTAGGCAAGGCCTATGTGCTTCCGAAGCACAAAGACCTTGACAGATATCGCCCTATCTGCCCGACTTTTAACGAGCTCATGGTGAAGACGGGTAGATTGGTGGCGAAGGCTCTTAACCACCTCCTGTTCACCTTGCCAAAGGACTGACATATCAACATGCAAGCAGTAGAACACATGGCAGGACGCCTAGCACGAATTAACAGGAAGCAGGAGGGAATTCGAAGTGAGGGACTGGTGGAAGCAATGTCATTCGACATTAAAGAGATGTTTAGCAAATTGCCTCACGAGAAAATCAGGGAGGCTGTGGATTGGATTGTGGAATACCACAAGGAGAAGGGAAGACGTGTTGTTAGGGTGAATCCGAGAGGGAAGGGGAGTACGTATGGGATGACGACGGGGAAGGATTGCTGGAGAGAGATTAATCTGGAAGAACTAAGGAAGTTCGTTGCATTGGAGCTACAGCACACGTATACGAAGGCCACAGGAGTGCTGCTGAGGTAGAACGTGGGAATCCCGATGGGAAAAAACACAAGCCCACCTCTGGCTTGCATTCTCTGAGCGTACGTTGAGTATACTTTTATCGCAGACCTGGGCAGATGGAGAAACCGGGTGTTCGATATACGTCTTATGGACGATGTGGCGTTGATCCTGGGGGGGATCCTTCAGGAAATCAAGACGGATATCGTAGGGAGATTCAAAGAGTGCTACCCAGACAATCTCTTGCTCAAGCGAACGGATGACGGAAGTGGGAAGTTTGAATTCCTGGGATGTGAGATTCAGGTATCTGACTCCCCCCCATACGTGGGTTGTATCCAGCAATCGAAAAACGAGCGGAGTTTGTAGGCAGAAGAGAAGATTGTCTTCCAGAATGGACAGACGTCCAGATTGTGGAGCTCAAAAAAACAGAAGAGCTCCATCATTGGGGGATATTTACATCGGATCGACAAAAATACCACAATCCGCTCTGCTATCCCCAGACGGGTTCGAACCGTGAAAAGGGAGCTGAGGGTCAAAGGATTTGAGCATGACTCCTTCATGAGAGTATTGAAGCGGTTTGCTAAGCACCGAGGGATAATCTGAGAGCAAACAGTTGAGCTCCTGTCCGGATTGTGAAGTGGAACACTATCCTGGATGAATGTTTCTCATCCCCTACTCGCTTGTTTTGTTTGGTTTTGTTTGCTTTGATTCCATATTTTCTTGACTTTTTTTTACTTTTGTACGTCTGATTTTTCATTGCTTCATCTCTTTTCTGCGCTTATTGGGGTAAGATGCGTAGACCACGCTTGGCTTTCTGGACTTTTGGGAATTTTAACAGCTGCCACAAGTAAAGGGGAAAGGGGTGGAAGGCTGGGGGTACACGATACTTGGACAGGGGATCTTGGTTACGGTTTGTACAGTCGACGAGGGCCCTTTAGGGGGTCGTTTGCAGGCTTTGTGCGGGGCATCGAATAGGCATCGCCTGTCGGAGTGAGAGACTTTTGTAGATTGGATGAAATTTGGGAGCATCGATCAGGAAGGCTTTGACGGGGTCTCGAACTTGTATCGTTTGTCGTATGTAGTTGTTTTTTCGATAGACTAGGGACCGGAAGGATAGTTTGTAGAACCTTTTCAGGTACCAGGGAAACGCACGAGGCCGCAAGTACAGACTGCTTGGGCCTGTTGGACCAAAGAAGTTGTCAATAAGTGGGGAGTGTGCATGGTCAGTAGCCTCTTTTCGGGACTGACGTTCAAACGTGGGTATGGGCAGTCTGGACTGTCGGTACGTGTGAGAACGGAAGTGGGAGTGGGAAAGCATGCATAGTTGGGGAACGATGGTGGGAACCCCCTGAAGATGATGACGTGGCTGTCATTGAAACGCGGCGTCGGGGACGCCTCTCCTGTTGTATCTGAATTTTTTCAATCCTGTATGGTTACACTGTGTACTTGTGAACGTGCTTCTGTACGTTGACTGCTTTGTGTGGAATCATTTGATTGTCATATTGCTTTGAGTAAACACTACCCGAAATAAAATGAAAACAAAAAGTTAAAAGTGAAAAAAAACAACATAGTGAATGGGAGAGCACGTTTTGACACCCCCATCTTTGACGATTTTTAATGTTTGTTTGGCTTAGCAGAATGGATTAAAACTTTATAGGCGTGTAGTTTACATCATAGAGAACTCACAAAAACAAATCCAGAAAAAAACCTTATTTTTAGGGTCCGAAACATTTTTTGGCGGGGGCCGAACCTGGGGGTGTTCGACCCCCGAACGTTCGGTCAGGTAACCCTGTGTATATATATACATATATATATATATATATATATTTGTGACGATATATATATATATATATATATACAGAGTTGCTAGACCGAACGTACGGAGGCCCCTAAGCTGACCCCTGAACGTTCGAGCGTTCGGGTCCCCGTACGGGGCCCGAACTCGAAGGGGTTCGGACCCCGCAAAAAATTATTTTGGTACCTAAACATTATTTGTTTTTTCTGATTGTTTTTTTTTTTGAGTTCTCTGTTATGTAAGTTACCTGTTTCTTAATTTTGAATTCATTCTGTGGAGCCAACCAATAATGAAAAATCAGCAAAGATGGTGGTGTCCAAACTTGCTTTCCCACTTACTAATTTGTTTTTTGTTTTTTTTCACTTTTTGTTTTCCCTTTATTTCGKGGCCTGAAAAAAATTATTATTTTTTTAAACTTTATTTGTCGGTTCTCTATTATTTAAGATACATATGTATAAAATTTCATGGCATTTGACAAAGCCAAAAACAAATGAAAAATCGCCAAAGATGGCGGTGTCAAAAACTTGCTCGCCCACGCAATAATTTCATTCTCGTTTTATTTTTTCTTATTTTCATTAATATTATTTATTTTTCGTATTTGATTTTTATTTCAAATCTGGTAAGGAATTTGGATGTACTGTTGAGGCAAATGTTGTTTAGTTTATTCTTCTGCATGACATATTATTTTTTCAGAATTTTTGGATTTTTTTTTTGGTTTTTTTTTTTTTTTGGTTCCGCGTTCGGCCGATCGTCCGAACGCGTCGAGAGGGGGTCCCAAACGTTCGGGCGTTCGGGTTCGGGCGTTCGGCCCGTCCCGAATGCCGGCAACCCTGTATATATATATATATATATAGATATCGTCACAAACAAAAGTGCCTTCTAAACAGTAGGTAGAGAGAGAGAAGAGGACAACAAACGAGAGGCTGTGACAGACTGTTTCGTCGAAGTTTCACGGACTCATCAGGAGGCTATATATATATATATATATATATATATATACAGGGCAACCGGCGTTCGGGACGGGCCGAACGCCCGAACCCGAACGCTCAAATGTATGGGACCCCTTGGGGACGCGTTCGACCGTTGGGCCGAACGAGGACCCAAAAAAAAAAAAAAAAAACACAAAGTTATCAAAAAAATATGAAAAAATATATGTTTTGGAGAAAAATAAATTAAACAATATTTGCCTAAGTATTACATCCGAATTCCTTACAATAAAAATAAATAAAAATCAAAAGAGAATTAAATTTAGTGAGGGCACGAGCGTGTTTTCGACAACGCCATCTTTGGCCATTTTGCATTTTCTTTTGGCATAGCTAAATGCCATGAAAATTTACAGATGTGTAAAAAGTGA